CGGGGAATCGACACCGTCTTGCGTGGTGAAAGGAGAGTATATATATATATATATATATATATATATGCTATTATCCCAGAGACGTATATATTACTATATTTATATATCAATATATCCATTGCGCCATCCAACCACCAAAAATTAAATCAGTTTAACAAGGCTAAAAATTAATAGAGCAGTCATTTTAAAGACAAGTCGCTAGGTATTAGTTATATAACTTGATTGGATGAACTGTTAAATCACGAGTTTGCGGTATTCACGGACTTATCCAAGACTGAAACACGACCCTTATCCCCCTTAAACATTAAACATTAGCTATTAAAAGCTATTATTCCGACAAACATAAGTAAAAAGCATCAATTCAAGAACTTACATAAATATGTATAAAACATTATGAAACATCAACAGAAAGTTAAGACATAAGTCTCCATGCAAAGTTATAAGTTAAATATATATACATGAATACATATAGCAGGACAGTAATTTTACCATAAAATACATATTAGCATAAAACATTGAAGCAAAGCACATACACATAAAAACAGACATTATGAGCTACAATTTCCACTGTCAGCACCATACATAAAACACATTTACAACATGTAAAACAAACGGAACAAAGTAATAAAATAAATTAAATGAATAAAATAATAATAATAAGAGCAAACATTCGCACAAATCCGAAAAAGCAGCATAAAACACACACATAATTAAACATGAAGCAAAGCGGACTAGCCACATGTACATGTACTACACACTGCGGCAGACATTACAAGAGCAAATGGAGCCATCCCAGGTCTGGACCAGTCTCCCAAATTCATTGTACCTGTCTACTTTTCTGAGTTGATTGGGGAGACTGTTCCACACCTAGGCGACCTCGTAGGAGAAAGATTTGAGCCCATACCTTGTAGTGTTGACCCTAGATCCATTTTCCGTACACTTTTTACCGAACAGAAATGCGAGACAAAGGGCAATTATTAAAACTTGAAAGAATGAATGAGTTGTAAATAATGTGTCTCCCTTCCTTTTCAGTATAGATAATTATCTGGAAGTAATGTTTCTGAAATCATCAAGCCTTCGAAAATAAAGTTGGATTAACAAACAAACTGCAAGAATATCTGTATCTTGGTTCAATTACAGAATTTTCTCTTAAAACACACATTACACATTTGGTTTAATATTTTACAACATTTAAAACATTTAAAAACTCAATTTTGTCATATGATGTTTGTACTGGCATTAGTGCCTCCCCTTTGGAGGTTGCACGATTTACCCAAAAACACCGAAAACACCCAAAAAACACCCAAAAACACCTAATAACATCCAGATAAGACCACCAAAAACAAATAATATTCAGTTAATATTATAATGTAGTAACCTAATTTTCTGCAAACGCAAAATAGATTGAAATAATCAGAACCTTAAAAAACAAGAACGAATTTATCACTTCAAACAATATCCTCTTAAGAGCAAATGCACTTATCAAACACAAAATAAACGCATGTCAAATTATGTGGAAAGAGTGAGAAAAATACCATTTTATATAACAAATATCGATCTTTGCAGGGGAAGTAACTCAAATAATTGGCATTGGGATGTCACTTCCGGTTAAGGTAACTAGAGACGCCATTTTCAGGACTCTACTATAGGGGGAAAATGAGATGATATGGGCTCTGGAGCAAGTAACCAAGCTGTTGGTGTTCCTGCCAACCCTCGAGTAATCTACTCCGATGCTTTAGGAAAAAAAGAACGGAAGGTATACTAATAATCACGTTGACATTTTACTGTAACAGTAAAATGTTAGCCCGAGTTGCCTATGGCCCAGACACCAGACTAAGACATTTTGACAGGAAACGTTAGATGTCTGGTGTTCTATCAAAATGTTTAAGTCTGGTGTTAGGGCCAGAGGAAACTCGGGCTACTGAAACCTCCAATAAAGGGGTATACAAATAAATCGTATTCTTTTTAAAGGGCGTAAATCTATGATTCTTTCAACATAACCAACTACTGTCAGTAATGATAAAATGAGGAACAATTATGTAGAGTCAAAAATAGATAACAATTTGGATGTCTTAACTTTAAATGTATCTGTAGGTATACTGCTAATTAAGTGGCTCACTGCATGTTGATGATAAGTCTACCAGGGACAGTGAGTGTGCTGTAATGACTTTAGCAGGTCGGGAAAAACCACTAACTTGCGTATCATACGCAAACTCGCCTATTATACGCCAATAGGGGTATTGATTTGTTACTAAAAATAGCCAAAATCACTTTAATCTTAACTTTTTCAAATTGTTTGTCCAAGTCACATTTATTCTTTCATGAAACATAATACAAATGCAAAAATAAACTTTATTTGCATGGGGGAAAGTACCAAAAATAGATGCAATACTTCCGGTAAAGTTACATCAACTTTCTAAGTAGCTAACGCTTTCAGTCAACATCTTTTAGCAAAATATTATTTACCTTGTCGTAAATTAATGCAATTTTCAATAATATCTTGCAAAAATTACTGTTAAAGCGATTTGGGTTATTTTTAGTAACAAATCCATACTCCATCTTGCGTATAATAGGCTAGTTTGTGTATATACGCAAGTTGGTGGTTTTCCCCAACCTGTTTAGTCACTATATATAATTGATGATATTGCAGCCTTGAAAATTTCAACACTTTTACTGTTGATGATATGTTCTGGCAGTTTGTTCCAGTCTATAAACGAGAATGATCTAAATGAGTGTTTATATGGTTCATTGTTTCATTTTATCATTTAGAATGTACTGTAATGTGTATGGTGTTCTCGTGTTGAAGTAAAATACATGTAGTATGTTTGCTACAACTTCTGGCCATCTACTATTTTGAAGAACTCTAGACAAAAACGACAAACTGTCGCCTTGGCCTCCATTGCTTTAATGTGATGTAGAAAAGCCATAAATAGAACATAGAAAATGTTATGCTCACCTTTTACATTTGCACTGGATGCCCCTTAGCTTTAGGACTACACACTTTAGTAAATGGAAAACAAATTCAGTGTTAGACTTAGAGTTTGTCATTTTAGTAAAAACTTAAGACTTTAGAACTGACAACTTTTTAAAATATATAGATCCAAAGTGATGCAATGATTGGTGCAGCAGATCAATTTATGTATCTTTAGTTCATTATCCCCAAAGCAGATGAAGAAATCTCCTCATTCAGCAAGGGGGAACACATTACAATAAACCAGGCCAAATGGTTTTCCGAATCGACAGGGGTATAACTGTGTTGTAATAATTGTTGTAATGAAGGAGGACATTTTTTCAGATAATTGGATTTGGAGCAATATTTTTATATGGCGATTAATTCACTTTAATTTTTCCACCCTTCATCTCTTTTCCCATTTTCATTGTCCCCTTAAATAATCACAACAACAGACCTCTGTTCAAATGGGGCGGTAAAATCAGATTATCACTAAGTCTTTTGTTGTTAACAGGAAACTTTTGTTTTCCACCGATAAAACTTGAAGGAACTAGAGCTTAAGGTTTGAACTCCATCAGTCAGTCTATCTCTCAGTCTGTCTGTCTCTCAGTCTGTCTGCAGTCTGTCTGTCTCTCAGTCTGTCTGTCTGTCTATTTTCTGTCTGTCTGTCACTTTGTCATACTGGCATATCTCATACTGTATACTCTGTCACAACTTTTGTATGTGATTTATTCTCAGGAAGGTCCTGAGATATGGTCTTGTGCTACATTTTACAGAGTTATGTCCCTTTTTGTCTGAAGGTCTAGATTTATGGATTGCTCACAATAGTTTGCCTAATTGTTCTTGCAGCGCCTGCGTATCGATGCTCCGGTCCTGATAGATGTAGAACATGGCTCTATCCGCTACAGATACGGAAACAAAGAATCTTCAGATAACGTAAACCCACACAAAACCAAGGGTAAACCATTTGAGGGGACGGCTATGGTCGACAAAGACCACTATTTCTACCATCAAAGACTCAACGACTTCAGCGAAAGTAAATATTTATTTTGAAAGTCATCAGTTTTTGGAAGCAGGTCTAGACTAATGTACCCATTTTAAAGGAAACATACTGAGTGTATAAAGATCACACAGGCTGTTTTTACATATATATATATATAAAGATCATCATGTAATGTTATACATGATATGTATAAAGATCATATATGTTACCCATATATTAGGTATTCCCAATATGAAAGCAGTCACTTGAAAACAAATCAACAGAAGTATCAGAAATATTATGTAAAATTTAATGTAATAATTATGTAGTCATATAGACATATTAGTTTTGTTCAAGAAAATCAATTGCAAGTAAACATTTCCTTATAGCTTATATATAATATATGCAAGTGTACTGATTTTGTGCTTGTTCTTGATTTTTGGTATTTCATTACCGCCGGTAAGAATCTTAATCTTTGAATAAGACCGTAATTGTTTCTTTTTGACAGAGGGGTCTCGTGAAAAGGAAGATGACTTCAAATTTATGTATGTACAAAAAGGTCCCAATCGGGCCAAACAACAAAAGCTGTTTTATGTGTACGGGAATGGATGGAATGCTATGGATGGAAAACGGACCCTCCCCTCGGATTCAAAACAGGAGGGTACCGACTTTGCCTGGCCACTCGAGACCCGAATTCCTAACGATGTCTACTACAACTTAACCTTTAACATACAAGGTAAGTGGATTCAGGACAAACTAGTCATGAAACTTGGATGTATACTTGGTCAGATAATTTAAAATAGGTATTCTGTTTTCTATTATGGGGGGATTGGTCGAGTGGTTAACACTCCAGTCTTCAATGCAGATAGCCAGGGTTTCGATCCCTGAATATGTCATACGCATGGAATATTGAAAGAAAGTGTTTTTCTCCTGCCCACACAACTCCAACAACCAAGGTGGAGTATAAAATGGTCTGGGGTGGATGTTGTGGTATCCGTGTTGTAGCATTCACGTGAGGTGGCACTATAAATGATACTGTTGGAAGCACAATAATTGTATTGACATTTGCTTGTCTGATGCAATTCACCAAGGAGACCAGGGTTCAATTCACCAGTCGGACGTGAAAAGGAATGAGGCCACCTGCCCGACCAAGTGGATTTATCTGGGTACTCCAGTTTCTTCCGACATTAAGGCCCCACGCATTAACATCTGGGCCAACAAAGCTTGAAGAGTGAGTGATTAGTACATGTTGAATTACTTATTTCATAATTGTTGTAAAATAAACAAAGTTTATATTTAATTGTATTGATATTGTTTATCTTCGTGAAGCCCTTGCATGATGGGAGTATGGATTGTCTTCGTCAAACTGTGTGTCATATGTTTTTATTTGAATTCAAATATTTTCAATAGCATGTGCCTCATTCCTTAATAATTCAAACACTTAGATTAAGTTCCCCATACTGCTGTTAATATTACCCCCATCACCTCCTGGAAGGTGTTTTGTACTTCTGTTCCATATAATTGGTCTTTATTTACTATTTACTTTGAATAAATGTGAAAGACTATGCCCTCGAAAGGTTAGATGTGAACAAGGTAATACTATTAAAGTACAAATTGATGTGTAGATGCAGTTTTGAATGGCTGTACATATCACTATCAGTGACGAAATGCCTCCAGAACGTTGCCATTGTTCTTTAAAAATTAAGCTTTCCAAGTACTCTAAGGAAATCTATCAAAACAGCCATTTTGTAAGGAATATCCTCTTGTTTGCTGGAATATTTCTGACCTTATTAAAAAAATCCTTTTAAAAAGGTTTTCATTAATATTTAAAATTAAAGTTATCTTGCTGAAGTAATATTTTTGATGTTCAAACATTATCTGAAGTAGATGTATTTCGTATATTAAAAAAGATATAGTAATTTAAAAATTCATTGAGATTTGACATTCCAATATCAACAAAACTCTGTTTTACAGAACTGAAGGTATCCTTTGCACTTCCTGTCTCTCTAGATTTTAATCAGGTTTTTAAACTTTTCTGATTTTGTTTTTCAGAAGCTGAGATGGAAGAGGAGTCAGCTGAAGATAGACTTGTTGTAGATCTATCATCCACTGCCAATAAGCAGGCAATAGAGTAAGTAAACATAGACTTTTTGTAGATATATCGTCCACTGCCAATAAGCAGGCAATAGAGCAAGTAAACATAGACTTGTTATAGATCTTTCGTCCAGTGCCAATAAGCAGGCAATAGAGCAAGTAAACATAGACTTGCTGATCTTTCGTCCACTGCCAATAAACAGGCAATAGAGTAAACATAGACTTGTTGATCTATCATCCACTGTCAATAAGCAGGCAATAGAGTAATTAAACTTAGACTTGTAGATCTTTTGTCCACTGCCAATAAGAAGGCAATAGAGCAAGTAAACATAGACTTCTTGTAGATCTTTCATCCACTGCCAATAAGCAGGCAATAGAGTAAGTAAACATAGACTTGTTGATCTATCATCCACTGTCAATAAGCAGGCAATAGAGCAAGTAAACATAGACTTGTTGTAGATCTTTCATCCACTGTCAATAAGAAGGCAATAGAGTAAGTAAACATAGATTTGTTGTAGATATATCGCCCACTGCCATTAAGAAGGCAATAGAGCAAGTAAACATAGACTTGTTGTAGATCTTTCGTCCACTGCCAATAAGAAGGCAATAGAGTAAGAAAACATAGACTTGTTGTACATCTATTGCCAACTGCAATAAGCAGAAAATAGGTAAACATAGACATGTAGATCCACAAGCAAGGTATCGAGTAATTCAGTGAGTACACACAGATCTTTATTTGCATAAATCACTCTGTAATAAAAGCTTGGCAATTTGTATTTTCCCATCAAACTACATACAACACATTCTCTTTGAATTCTTGTTTCAAGTGATTCAGCTTTCAGAAAAATTAACACTGCACATTCAAAAAATTGATAGAAACCATATTTTCAAAAAAATGAACTTTTTTTCCACAATTATGAAAAAAGGATCTCGGACTTACATAATCACTCTGACCTGGATGGAAATGAAACAATCTTAAACATATACATGTATTGAAAATTCAATTTTGTCTCTCTTTATTCAGCCTGGTAATATGATTGACAGTTTATTCAATCTAGGTCAGTGTCCAATGAAGCATGTTTTTTTTTTTATCTAATGACAATAGTTTGTTTGTTTTTCCTATTCTTTCAGGCTGACTCTGACAGAGACAGATACAGCAAAAGACATACAGAAAAAGATTGCTTACAAAATTCTGAAGTCTGCCAATAATATTCATGTCTGTCATAAAGGGAAGGAGATTAGGTAAGATTAACATGTGTCCATTAATATAATTTGTAAAATAAACAGCTACCAATTGTTACCAGCATTGTAGTCTTTTTCAGGTTTTTTATGGCTTAAAAGTGCATTATTTTTTACATTTTTTATCAAGAAATATAGCATTTGACATGAAGAAATGTGCATGTAAATTACTTGAATTGTCTGTCTTTCAGATATTTTTTATTGTCACTATCCAAAGTAGGAAAATACATTTTGCTCAGTGTTTCAAACCTTTTACCAGTAGTTAAAACAGGGTCTTAAGATTTGGCCGTTGACCTTTATTTTTTTCATTATGATAATTTGGTATAAATGAATAAGGGGCAGTGTCTGAAATGATGGTTTGGATACAAAAGATGATTTATTAAAATTATTTTACAAATCAGTGAAATTTTAAGACATTGGAATAATATGTTTGATGATAGTTTTAAGATATTTTTACCTTAAATCTGTATAACTAATTTCTTATTTTGAAATCATTTTATGTTGATGAACCTCACATCTTTGAGTGTGTTAGAACGTGATGGAATGCTTTATCAGGTTATTGGTTAAAACATTTAACTTGGTCTGTTAATTAAGCTGATAACTTATATCAGTATCAGTTATTAGAATCAACAACTTTTCCTTACTTTTCTGTACCTGTTTCTGAATATTACTGGTGCATACTTGCCAACTATTTGAAATCTCCATGGGGGAATTCTGCATGCTCAAATTTAAGACATAAATAAAATGTGTATATACCCAATAGAGACAAAATAGCCTTTTAAAATGACATTTTGAGTATTTCAGTTGAAATCATTAGATTTTATGAAATAGGAATAGTTTAGCAAATTCACATGTTAAAAATACTAAATTTAATGGTAAAAATTGTGAGTCTCCCTCCTAAATAGGGAGGGTTGGTAAGTATGCTGGTGTCATCTCTATTAAGCAAAAGTTACCTGTATTTTCCTCTATTTACAGAGATGAAGATGTGATTGGTGACCTCAGAGACCCAGAAGAAGGCAGCTGGACGGTGTTCAAAGTAACCATGAGGCTATTCTAAGAGGCACTGTACTGGTATTGTTACCGTATTTTACAGAGAAAGCAATGCTTGTTTACTCAATTTTCAGATGAGGTCTTTCTTAATTGGTTATTATCATAGTTCTGTATTTTCAGTAATTATATTATGTTGGTGAATTGTGATAATTATTTTTCAATCTTTGTTCAATTTTTTATGGGAGTTCCTTTTATAGAAATGGATGTAAAACCAATGCCATTTGTGTACGGTAAGAATTTAGATTTTGAAATTTCACTCTATATATTGTTGTGGAAATAGGTTTCTGTCCTAAGCTTTACCGAGTTCGTGCTGGTTTTTATACAGCACTATTCATTGTTCTACCCTGGTAATCTTATATCATATGAACAATGATATAAATTTTAATGATATTTTTAAAGTTTGTTGACTATTGCTCGATTTCTTTAATTTATTGTTTTTTGATTAAAACTGTTTTTAACAACCTCTTTAAGGCTTTATGATACAAACTCTTATAGATACCAACTGTTGGCATAAACTCTTATGAATATAAAGTTATATTGATACAAACTTTTCTTTGAGTGAAACCTTCATATAATTGTTTGACCTTCATGTAATTGTTTGACCTTCATATAATTGTTTGACCTTCATGTAATTGTTTGACCTTCATATAATTGTTTGACAGTTTTGTTAAATACAAGTGTGACTTTACGAATCCGATAATGAATTGATGCCCTGATGTCTTGAAGTCCTTTGTATATTGTTATTGGTGTATGTAGTTCAGAACAATCATTTATTCTAATATTTTCTCTATGATTTGATTAGAAATTTTGGCGTAAGGCAATAATGGAAATATGATTTTGTTGTACTTATTTTTTTGTTCCACATTTGAGTTTTTGACTGTCTCATTAATGGACCCATTGATGATATACCATTTGTTAGATTAATCTCTATGACATTTCCCTCCATATTGTGTTATGGTAAGAATTAAGCATGCTGGACATGTATTTCTGATAGTCAACCTTTAATGTTTCTTATCTTTATATTCACTTTGCCTTTAACATGAATAAAATGACAATACTGTGAAAAAGCTGTTTAAATGAAAGTTTTTAGTCTCAGGAAATTCTATTGTGTTATTGGGATAGATTGTTGCTTTATGAAATACTGTTATTTTTGAAGACTGTTCAGCAAAATATCTTAAAATATCTGTCCCTGCGAGTTATAAATCATCTATTTAAAAAACACTGCAGCTTAAATTTCTTAGTCCAGAAAATTTTGTTAAGTTAAAGTGTATCTGGATTGATAGAATATTGGTTTATTAAACACTATAAAACATTTTTATTTTTTTTTGTAAAATTTCTGTTTGCATTTTGGAATTTTTAATATTAATAACAATATTCTATACGTTTATTTCATTTTATTTTCTTGCCCTTGATTTTGTCAAAGTGGTCTTCTCGTCATAATCATGCTGGACATTGTATAGAATTGCTATACTATGTATTTTTTATATATAGAATCTTTGATGTATGATGATATATATATAATCACATTTACTAGGAAGCTGGGCTTCAAATGTATATAACACTTTTATATAATACTTATGACATGTTATAACTAATAAACTTTGTGAAAAAATAAAGGTTTTTTGTTTGCGTTGTCAGAAACTGCATATCCATTGATAAATAAAGATTATAAACAAAAACACTTACCTCGGAGTTAAAAACTTGAACCTGTACATCCTTATAGTGTATCTTGACCATATTTGACCTATAAATACATTTTTAAATGTGAATGTTATGTTAAAGGTTTTGCATGATGTTATATATAAAATATAAGGTTGGTTTTATTCTTTTAACAATTTGCCAAAACCTATGTATTTTCAAACAGTTGGCAATATACTACAGAAATAACATTGGCACCCAGAATAATAATCAGCCAAACACCTTTTTTTGAGATATAATTTTGCTAGTTCAAACTTAAAGGAAATAATTTTTGACAAAGTGCATTAAATGTCATCAATGTAGGATACTGTAATTCTGGTTAAGATGAAATCTACACATAAAAGTCAAATACTTTTATTGAATGGTCACAGACACCTGTTGGCGTTCTAATAGCAGGTAGAATAATAACGAAAATCACACGCACACACAGTACCTGATATCATTTAAAGTTACTATATTATCGGAACGCCAAGTGTCGTATGTATGTAGTTATTTCGCCTGAAATACCGGTTATGTCCCCTTAACACTAATCGAGCCGAAGGTCAGTGCAGGATACCCCAACCCCCCAACCCCCCTTCTGATAAGTCAATGCCTTGACAATTACACGGAAATTAATTAATGGTGGATTGTTATAGTTTTCTTTCATCTCAACAGCTAATGACCTTAAGATGCGTCCACCGATGGGGTGACTACTTAATTAATTAAGGACCATTTTCAAATGTCTTATCGCTGAAAACGTAACGACTGAAAATATAACAGGTAGAACAAATTCATTACGTAAATCATAAAAAAAAACCTGATCAGCCTGGCCTATTGGAGCATTTTATACGTGTAGGGCGTCGTACTACAATGTTCAGACTATATATGGCAGTAGCGTAGCTGCCTTTGGCTCGAGTGCCTACACATTATTTTGTCAAGGTTTTATTTTTCAGCATAAGTTCATAAAATTGAAGAAATGAATGTGTTTTCACTAAAATAAAAGATTATATTATATCTAGGATGTTTTGCATATGTTTAGTATAAAATGTAGAAAATCCTGTTTTTTCCACATCCAAAAAACGTATTACCACAACCAACGGTGCACAAGTTTATGGTAACATTTCGAAATGTCAAAAGTTCAGAGACCCAATCAGAAGATCCCTTTCGCAGTAAACCTGTCTCGTCTTCCGAGGTTATTCAAACCAAGGCGTCATTCAAAAATAACAGCTATATTTGGACCTAAACTAAGGTGTTCAGAGTAATTTTACACGTTTTGGGGGTTTAGATCAAATTTCGGTAAAAATGCCACCGCACGACTCGTATAATCTATATCATCATTGGGGTGGCATTTTTACCGAAATGTAGCTGTGACAATTGTTCAGTCCCCTGTGAGTTGGAGGTAGGCTAGCACTAAGCATGCTTGACAATCAAGGTAACCCTACCTATTCACTTTCCAATTTTTCGAAAGTCGAAATACTAGCTAATCACGCTTCTCTTCTACAATCTGTGCTAATACCCATTAATGATAAGGATACGGACCTCTGCCTCGTTTGTGGTGGATTCTGAAATTTCACCAGAATCCTTATAACTAACGTTTTACCGCGGGCTCAACTTGTTACTCAACCAAGACATATTTCAAACTTAGTACTGTATAATCAAGGTTACAATCGTATTGTGACTCTATATGTACTCAGTAAGTGGAATAATTGGTTTGTGGAATTTGAAGATTTCCAAAAAATATTAGATCATTCTTGAACATCATCTTCTTAAAAATGTTTCTTATATCAAGCTTTTTACCTTTCGACCCATTACACAACAGCTCCTCATACTAAATAGAAAGAACGTCCTCATTTTCTTATTATGAGAGTTTCTTTTCAATAATTCAATAATGATTTTCCTAATGTGATCTTCCCTTTCTCGAGAGTAACATCCTTACAATTTTCTATGTTGCTGTTGATTCGATCGGTATTCAAGAGTTTGTTGCAAATAGCATAATTTCAAAATTGCATGACTTCATCTTGATATCATAGATGTAGACTGCTGACGAATAGCGTTATAACACAGGTTTTCAAAGATGCAGCTTAATGAAGAGTATTGACAAGTGTAATGGTCGTCATCATGATCTTATTGGGAAATATGGAATTTTTGTGTGATATGAAGATCGATGTTGTTGCTTATGCTCCTTAGGTTTTGTTGTCATTACCCCAGTTCTCGCTTTGTGGACGTAACATATCTTTGACCTATATTCAATACAGAAGACACTCTTCCGGAACGCCTGGTCTTATTTCACCTAGTTTTATCAATTTTGAGTTCACACCTTGTTTACGCTTTGGTAGTCTTTTCTTCTTCTTCCAAGAACCAATAAGAGCTTAAATTTAGTTAATAGATTTTTGGATAACAATGAGTGATTATTCTACTTTAAAATCATTTCATAAATATTGTCAGTGGGAATTAGTTGGAAACTCCTGCTAAAATCCTCACATTTAAATCATTACCACTCATTCATATCTAATTTCATGCTATCTGTATATTTAGTCACAAAGCGTACTGCTACACTTATCAATTTATTTTATTGCAAACTGCTGTTGTTAAACTAAAAAATACACATTTTGCAGCAAATTGCTCTTGTGCCTACAGAAGATTTATATCCCTGCTACGCCCCTGTATGGGCCACCTTGTGGATGATACAAGTACATGTCAAACCTAATCGCGTGCCTTCGATTTTGTCATGACATATTCCAGGGTCGCAGAGCTCCTAAGTCAGCGCAGCCCTGTACTTTGGAGGTTTACAGAGAAGCATCACCCGACTTCAAAGAATAAAATTGGATTTCGTCATGCTATATTCAAGGGGTACAGGGAACGTAAGTGAGCGTAAACCTTGGAGTTTCGAAGATGTACCTTGCAATATGTCACAGAAAGCCAATTCTAATATCTTCTCGAGTATGCCGTGGCGATAAGGATATGCTTCTCCATTCCCAATCAATAGAATAATGCTCCAATCAACGCTGACACACTAGGTGTTTGACGACAAGAGACTTATGAAGTCATGAATAATTTCTCTTTGTACCAACGTTGTAACTTATGAGAAGTTTCTAATCCAGTGTTAAATCTATAGATGGATAGGAATGTTCATCGTATATGTAGAAGATTTCAAAATAGGGCGATTCCTTTTGTTAAAATCATTTATCATGTGTCCGGCACATCACACCTAATGACCAACAGTGTTGTCATTAATCAGAGATACATTTTAACTCAATTTGTATATTGTTGCTGACTCCCTTTTTAATCCTATAAAATCGTTTGATCTGTGTAATCACAGACATATTGTTTTGCCATTATTTGGTTGGGTTCATGCGGGACAAACAACGCTGGTGGACAAAAGGTGTATTAGCATACAGATAAATACATCAAACAGTCACGGTCCATTCTAATCAATCAAAATGGGTCTCTTTGCATACCTATTAATTTTCTACCCTTTTGTGTGACGTTATTGTGGTGATGGTCATTAATCTTGTTAGAAATACAAACAGCTTTGCAGCTCTACAGTCTTGTATAGGGTTATAATGATTGCTGAGGAGCCGGTTTCCCTTTTATTCCCGTAGGGTAGGTCCTTCCTTGATGTGGGATGTGTGTGATATATGCCCTTTTCTCTTCAAAAAAAACCTCTTGGTTAATCGTATCAGTTTTCTAGAACAAGCTTCAAGTATCACGAAGAAATTACCATGGGCCAATACAAAAGGTGCCTTATAATCAATTCCTTCGTCAAAACATTATCATATAAACATTTTGAAGACGGGAAGGGAATGCATTATTCATCTATAGTGTACATTGACGAATTTGCAGACAATAAAAAAATACTATAATTCATTTATTATTATGATGTCGCTCATTTATGTATGAAACATTAATTGTTATTCTTATAACTATTAGATTACTTGGCATCATGGCAAAATAAGTAAAATATAATAAAGCAAAAGACTTGGCTATCCATATTATTTGTCGAGCTAAAACAATTCTTCGATCCAAAGAATTGTCATTTAAACATTTTAGGGAGTGAGAGGACATACCCCAATAAAACAATAAGACATACTTCTATTACCGGAAAATGTGTACAACTTGTTTATTTGTACATTATACGTACATTTATGAACAATAAAAACCACAACATGGGGATGGGATATGATACCATACGAACCATGAGGTATCGGGGGAGGACCTGCTGTTTCTGTGACGTCAATATAATACATGCATGAGGTAAATCGTTGTCATATGATCTATTTATTATATTGATATTACTTTATAAATACGTGATATCACTAAAATAGATTGGTGATATCTGCAAATGATTTAGTGATAACATTTGTATATCTTTAATTATACAGCAAATGAGTTGTTATCGTCAATTACGAAACGGTGTTTCATAGCATTTCCAGCACTTTATTTTACGTTGATGAAAACTTTCGGAATTTTGGCTTTGATATTATAATGTTAACATGTTTTAGATATCACAAAGTGAAATAGGGGAAAAACACTTGACAGGAGTGCATATTTAAGGACAGATTGTAAAAGCAAACGAAAGCAAACGGGTAAGCAAATATGTTGCTATCAAGAAAGAGAAAGTTTAAGATAGAAAAATCGAAATCGTCACGCATATCGTACAGCTTAATATTAGGTATTGCACTTTTTCCAGTGGTCTCCATGTAAATCTTTCCCTTGTTCATATTTTGAAACTTTATCGATTTAAAAATTAAAAAGCTGTTTTTAACACTTGGGTATTCTCTTGTTGTATTTTAGGTGTCCCTGATGGGGAGAATCTGTGTTACATGCTAGGATATAGCACATATGAGGAAGCGTAGCATTATAAAGTCACTGCACGAGAGTTGTTTCACCGGTTGAGTTTGCTATTTCGTCTTTCTATATAATTG